CGAGTTGGTGTGCGCAGATGATGCGCCCCCGCCGAAGCTCCCCCTTTACGTTGTCGTCAAGTTTGAAGGGTACTCGGGGGGGGAATGGTCGTCTCAGGAGAGGTATAGACGTTGTGTCCCTATTTCTCCCGTCGACACCACCTGGCAGGACGGGGGGACGCAGGTCAGGACGCAGCTGCCCCTTAGGCTCTGCTGGGCAATTACGATGCACAAGTCCCAGGGGCAGACTTTAGCCAAGGCCGTCATTGACTTGGGGCCCAAGGAGGCCTGCACGGGGCTTACTTTCGTCTGTCTCAGTAGGGCGAAGAGACTTGTGGACCTCATGGTAGAGCCCATGAGTTTCGACAGGATTGGTAACCTTGGAAATTCGCCGACGATGAAGGCTAGGCTGCAGGAAGAGGTTAGACTTGGGGAGTTAGCACAGAGTACGAGGGTCAAGTACACGGACATGGGCGTCTTCAGCGCCGTCGCGGGTAACCAATGACGTGAATTGCAAAGAGAAAAAGAAGAAGAAAGGGTCTCTTCCACCTCCCGCGGACGCACACGTCTGACGACAGTTACATCTATCAGCTGTCGCTCGTTTTAGCGACAGCTACTATATCTTTTGGTTGCAGCTTCGCACATTGGTGTAACCATGTTTTGCAGGATGGTACTTCTCTCTACACTGGTGTCCAAAAGCTTAGTGTGCAACCATCGGCACCCATGCTGGCCGAAGTTCGAAACACCGAGCGAAGCACAACAACAGCTGAGACATTTTTTTTTCTCTGTTCTCTCTATTTTTTCTATGTACCACACCCCTCCCTCCCCCCCGGAGTACACCTACCTACCCACAGAGCCAAACATGGACAAACAGGGAATGCGAGACACAGTCCACAACGCGGGCGGGACTGCGGGAAAAGGGCATGCCGTACACTGCTGCTGTTAAGCTATCGGCGGAGGAAGCGAGAGGAGGGATTATTATTTGTTGTAGCAGCAGCAGCGGCCTCTCTCTTTTCCGCGAAAAGGGGCACATGACACGAACAACACACAGACGCTGCTACGCACCACCATTGGACCGACATGTAATGCTGTACGCATCTCTGCTCTTTCGTGCGCGAGGGTCTAGTGTGCGACCAGTTCCTCCCGTGTTAGCCTGGTTGCCCATCACACGCTTGATCGCTCACTTTGAGATTTCTCGATCGAAGCTCGAACCAACAAGCGAAGCACTAAAGAAGCAGATCTTGTTATTATTGCTGCTAGCCTTATTTTTTAATATACCACCCTCCCCCGCGCACAATCAAGACTTACGTGGGTTGGCGCTGGTGGCAAAGCGCTGTAAAACACGCCACCCCAAATATAGCCCCCATAGTATGCGCTGCCAAAGACGCGTGACGCATGGATGCGTGGAGTGAGGATTGCTTACGGAAACCTCACAGACAGGTTGAGTGATGTAGGAGATTGCCGGACACATACACGTGTCGGGTGATTATAGCTGTAGACTGAAACCCCACGAAAAGGGGAGGTTTGAGATTGCCAGACACATAGACGGGTTTAGTGGGGATAGCTGCTGGAACCCCACGGGTTGAATAATGTTGGAGTGTTC